GAAGTAATTATAACTTTCCTAAATTATTGTAGTTTTTATATATAATTAATGTAGATCTAATAAGTTGACTTGCCAATCTTTGTTATTAGAGGTTGAAGCGAACGGCTACAAAAGCTCTTTGAATAAATCCTACTAAACACTGCTTGTCACATCGGACAACTTTTGTAAAATGCAGTCGGGACGTAAAGACAATTTGAAAAACTGGGCAAAAATGCCACAGAAGCGTACGAAGTGTTCCAGACTGCTTATAAATTAACTTGTATGAGCCGAGTATCTGATTTCCGCTCGTTACAACGGCGGGGAAGAAAATGTTAGAGATGATGAACGATGTGGAAGGAAGACAATGTGGATGTGAACGTCAGAGAATCAGAACAGGTTGGGAAAATCCACAATTTTCTTGATGAACAGATCGTCATGTGTCTCTAAAGATAATAAGCATAAAGTTTAGAGTTAATGTAGCAACAACTGTACACAGAATTATTCATGAAGATCTTAACATGCGGAAAATGTGTGCAAAGTTTATTCCCAGGGTGCACAGTGACGAAAGAATGAAAGACGCCTTGGTGAGATGGTTGATGGTCATCAAAACTGTCCCTCGCACTCTTTTTACCTACCTACCTATATATATATATATATATATATATATATATATTGTGTATTTAGGCAGCATTTTTCATTGATGCATGTTTCATTAAATAATATAGACAAGTTTTGTCTATTTATTTTATGCAAATTCCTTTCATATCGTCTGATAAGCTTAATAATATTATCATTGAAAGACAAAAGAAAATCACCATATCGATACATGTTTTTTTTTAATCCTATCTAAGCTTTTGGCTTAAATAAGCCATCATCAAAGATGTCAATTACATTACAATATATTAAAAAGTACACGAACATGGTAAATATTTAAGTGAGAGCTCTGTTTATAATAAACAGTAATAACGACATTTACCGGCATGAATGTCCAAGAAACTTTCAACAGAAAATATGCGTCCTCCGACAGGAATCGAACCTGTAACCTATACGGAACCGTCATATAGACTGGCACGCTTTTACCAATTTAGCCAGAGAGGAGCGTCTCGTTTAACAAGGTCGATTTTACTGTTTTTAAACTACAATTCTCTATGATTTTCTGCTCGATGTCTATCCAAATGTAAACAAATGACGTCACACATTATGAAATGGACAAATGCCTTAAATAATTGTCAGACTTTGTCATCTATCAAGCGATAATGATTTCGGTCCTTACTGGGTGCTATTCGGTAAATATCGACATTTTGAAACGCAGAAGTTGCTATAACCGATATTTCTTACCTTATGTCTCTTTTTCTGGAGATAGTTTTGTTTTTTTTAATTATTTTTAATCAACATCCTGTCGCTCTGTGGCTCAGAGGTCGAAATCTCTGGAGGCGACTGACATTTTGTCTTTTGAAATCAATCAATAAAGATAAGTGCAGAGCCACCATACGGCATTTCATTAGACTTCTTCAAAGTGACAACTTGTTTTGATAATTTTCTAACGACATCAAATAGAATGTCTCACATCTTTTTGTCTTCCTTTCAGTGACTCGTACTTTTGACCGATTATTGAAAAATGAAAGCAAACCCTTTGACGCTTGTCTTCATATTAGAATTAGAATTTTCAATTTGTTACAATTTTTTAAATTTTGTATTCAACAACAAAGTTCGGTAGGGATGCATTCAAGATTTTTAACATCCATTTCAAACAAATAATCTTACTTATCTAAATAAAGTAGAAAAATGCTGACACTATTATAAATACAAGCATTGTATCATGGAAGAAAAAACGAAACAACAGTACCGCCGGTGAATCGAAAATAAGACAAAAATTTTGACTATTAAATTATTTTGTATTTGCAGATACAGCGGATGCGAGAGGAGAGTCTCTATGTGGGCGAGGTATTGCGAGTGGAGTTGCTAAAGCCTACAGTTGATGCGTCTGTCGGATCGATTTACCGAGGTCATGGTGGTAACGTCGAGAACTTGCCGGTGTCGATATCTGGCCTGTTGATCGCGTTTTGTGGCAGTGGTTTATGAGTGAAATTCAGACAAATAAATTGGCCATTGCGATCGTTGTACCTCAGAAGGAAGTCTTCAATTCAAGAACCATTTTCTCTATACTTGTTGGCAATAATCACGTAAGAAATGGAAGAAGTAATTAAAAAAATATCCTATAAATATAATTTTGTAAATTTCAAATATTACTGAGAGAATTTAACCCATATGATTTCTGAGAAGAAACGCATTGTGAATTCGATTTTAAAATCAATTTTTTAGCAAAATGATCTCATATATGTAAAATTTAAAATATTATGTTCTTTGTAAGATATTATAAAACACTAATTTCGAAATTTCTATTGATTTTAAAATCGTTTGAAAGTGAAGAAATAATTGAACTAAATATTACTAAATATACTGCAGTTTCTTCATGTTTTGAAGATGCCAAGAGAGACAAGTTTCACCGATGTAGAAACGACAAAAATGGCTTTATGATGAAAGAAAGCACGGTTATTAGTGCTACTGGACAGATTTAAAACCGCTATTAGCAATTTTTGAAAAAAAAAAACAACCGGAAACGTATAGAATTAAATCGATCAGGAAAGCCAATCAATTTACCATTGCTGGTAGTCAGCATCTCCAAGAGGTATTAAAAGGGAAATTCTACGTTCGGGGATTCTGAAATAGACTTGATTTTATTATCACCACAAAAAGAGTAGGGAAATTCTTATGAATTGGGTGACTTTAAGTTTGAGTGATGGTCACAAAAAAAAATTGTATTGAATGGGCCAGTGAAACAATAACTTTGACCAAAGAACAATGTTACATTTTCACCCGCGAAAAAATAAATTTATATCATTTCAATGAAATGTAATGATATTGACACCAATTATAGGTAGTCCTGGGTATGACGATAAACTACACCCGGCAGAAAGGCCTCTGATCGGGAGATTTTGAAGAGCTGTTGTTCCAAGTCCACCCTGAACGGGTATGGTAGCACCTGTTAGGGTCCCAGCTATGGATAAATAGTGAATCCCCAAACAAAAAGAAAACACAATGGAAGTATAGAAATATATTTTTATATTAAAAATACCAGCAATGTATTTTTATATAAAAATTACCAACAATACAATTTTATCACTATTTTATCAGCATACAACTGCGCTCAAAGTATTTAGATTTCAGCATTAATTAACTCATAGATGTTGATATGCCGCTAAGCAAAATCAACCAAAATCAATTATAGGAAGGAGGAGCAATTTTTTTCCAGACATAATCTTTTCAAAGATAATTCGACAAGATGCTGGAAAAATGGTCATGTCTTTGTATCGCACTAGAAAGTATCTGAATCCTTCTTCTATGCTCTCTTCTTAAAAGAGCCAGATCAAAATGCAGCTACTCATTCCTCACTTTCTAGCCTTGACAGAATTCAAAAACATTCACGCGGACTTCTTGGTGATGAATTGTTTTCCACCAAACAACCACTTTCCCGCAGACGAATCGTTGCTAGCCTCTCGCTACGCTATTGATATTTTCATGGCAGATCACATTCCTTAGTTCCACCAGTCCAGACCTTCACCGCTAGGATCATACGCCGAGTCGACTCTTTCTCGCCATTCTCTTCATATTCCATTGATAAGGAAGAAGTTTCCTACATAAAGCTTCTTTCTCCTGAATGTTTTTACCTCTTCAAATTGAGTCAGCTGTTTTCTGTCTTACATATCCTTATAATATGTTCCTTTTATTCACTTTGTCCATATTCTTACAATAAACTTATTTAGTAAGTGTTTATCGTGATAGTTTTTTTCCGGCCTTTTACTAGGTGAATAATAGTAAAAACAGATCTGGTGTATGGAGTTTTTATTTTGTCAAAAGTAAAGATGAATTGGTGTTGATCGAAGGCAAACAAAATGCTCAGCGTTTTGTCGAATTACTGGGGATGACGACTCTTGTCTCATTTGCCAACTGCCTTCATGGAATTAAGTTTTCTATGCCAAATGGACAATGTGCAGGCTTACAATGATTGCAACGGAAGATTATTTACGGTTAAGCATTAGCTTTCTATTGTGAGACCGTAACATACCTATAACATGGACTCTTCCAGGACTATATAAAGTATGCATCATAACACTCTAGGAGAGAGAAGAAGAGGAGGAGAGAGAGTATTCTAATACCGTAGTATCAGCCGCGTACGACTAGCAATATTGGACACTAGCACATAGTAATCTCCGCTTACACTTACACTATCTTTGTAACCTTTTTGTTTAATATATCTTTCTTACCTCTAATCCGTGTTCCGTGTTTTCCTTCTCTGGTCCCAACTTTGGGTCCACATCACTTTCAAACTCTCCGGATTTCAACACCGCTGCGAACTCGTTGGTCATTATATCCAGACGCGTCTATGAATAAGAATAGCAGTTCGAAAAGAGCAACAATTTCTTCTTGTATAAAGGCGTTGACAAAAGCGTTGGAAAATCTTGTGTCTTCACTCCCAAAAGAGGTGAATACAAGGTTCATATTAAAAACAAAACCTTAATTATTGTTCATTTCATGTTTAATTACAAACAACCATGATGTATGATGCTCATTTTCAAACTCAGGCCGTTTTAAAATTTGCAACTATGAGCGAAAATTGATTTTAAAATTGAATTCCCCATCCATTAAAAATGCGTCACACACACACACACACACACAACACACACACACACACACACACACACACACACACACACACACACACACACACACATATATATATATATAATGGGATTAGTATTTGAAATTTACAAACTATTTGTGCAATGTCTTAATTATTTACAAAACATTATTAAATTGCCATCTCTTTTTCTCTTCCTTGCTTTCTCTCATTTGCTATTCCTTTATCTCTTTATTTCTTTCTTGAATTTTTCTCCATTACTGTTTTCTCATTTCTTTCTTTCTTCCTTTCTTTATTTATTTCTTTCTTTTTCCTATTCTAGTTTTACTCTTTTCACTTCTTTCTTTCTTTTTCTCTTTTTCCTATTCTCGTTTCACTGTTACTATTTTCATTTCTTTCTTTCTTTCTTTCTTTCTTTCTTTCTTTCTTTCTTTCTTTCTTTCTTTTCTCTTGTTCTACTTTATCTTACTCATCATTTCTTTCTTTCTTTCTTTCTTTTTTCTTTCTCTTTTTTTCATATTCTTTTCTTTTTATATTTCTGTGTTGTTTCTCATCCGTCTTTCTCTTTATTTGCCTTTCGCTTTTTACACTTAGACTGATATATACACGAATACACACATACGCGCACACGCAAACACACACACACGCACATATACACATGTATATAACCAGTCATGTATTTTAAGAAAACATTGGTAGCCATCATCCTAGAAAAGTGATTGTAATCTTTACTTTGTACAATGTCACCATCTTTTCGTGATAGTTCATTGATATTTTCCCCAGGACAATCGTTATCGATTTGTAACCTTTCAAGAATGGATGAAGTGACATTACACATGATACTGATCAATTTTTATGCTAATTCCACAGCATCTGCAGATTAAAATTGATTATCTTTCGTCAGAGAAGAACCAAATCCATTTTGTTTGCAAAGTCTTGCTAATTCTTTCGTAATCAAAATATGTTTGAGTGATTACTAAAAATGTTAAAGGTCTATTTTTCGTTTTTTTTTTAAATTTTAAGAATATTTTACATTTTTTCCAGTTGGTTGGGGTTCGAGTACAAGTTCAGATTTCAAACAGTGATATTTTACAACAATGAAATTCCTTCATACGTCATAATAGGGAGTCACATCGATTCGATAAGATCAAATTGGCAGCTGCTCTCCAAAATAACCAACAATCTGTGGTTAACTGGGGATAGAAATGGCCTTCACAACGAAACGACTCTTTTTTAATTATCAGAGAGAACACTTTCTGCTTTCCATCAGTATGGCTGATGTTAACCTCCAGAAGAGTCTCTTTTTACCTACTCGGGCTTTTGTTCTCGGCTGACATGAAATGGAAAGATTATATTGAATCAATTGCTAGATCCGCTGCTAGGAAAGTTAGTTCACTATGTCGTGCCAGACAATTTTTCTCGTCGGAATTTTTGTTACACATTTATAAGTCTATCATTCGAGCATGCATTAAATATTTCTGCTACATCTTGTCTGGTGCTTTTTCTATGTCTTTAGAGATTTTTGATAAAATCCTAAGAAGAATCCGTAATTTTATGGGTCCTGACCTGGTATCTCAGCCTAATTCATTTTTCCAACGTTCTGTATAGCTTTTCTACGCCTTTTTTTTTATAAATACATTCATAGTAATTATTCTGATGGTTTTTTTCTATGGTACCTAGACTTTATGAATTGAATTGTGGTGCCAGATTGACGGCAAGGTCTTATACTGTTGAAATGGCTAGATGTAAGTTCTCTGCTGTTTCTTCTATGGCACTTCCAGCACGTGGTACTTTCTTCCGGCTTCCCCGGTAAAACTTGATCTTTAAATTTAAATTTAGAAGGGTTTTAGTGGATGGCTATTGATCGATCTATTTTAAAATTACCCATTGTAACGTGTCCCCAAATTTGATAAATACTTTTTACGTGTACCTGGGTTTTATAGATTATACAAAATCTTTGACAAAGTACATCACAAAGAACCGTTAGAACTGCTCGTTAACCACGGCATATTTAGGAAGGATATTAGAATAACCAAGAACCTTTTTCTGGCAGCAGACTGCCTACACACGGATAGAAAATTAGTTTAGTAAATATACAAAACAGAAAGGGGTGTAAGACAAGAATGTGGCATCTCACCGGATTTATTTAGAATATGCAGTGAGAATTAGAAGTCCTACCAGGATTTATTATTGTGGGTGACAACCTAAACAATTTAACAATCTTAACAACCTAACATATGCAGATGACACAGTGTCGATAGCAGACACAGAAAGGAATGTACAAGAACTCTTACCGAATATAATGAAGGAAAACGAGACGAAAGGAATAAAGATCAATTGCAAGAAGACAAAATGCATGGTTGTTAGCAAAAGGGACAGTCCAACTGGGGATACCAAAATCAGACAAATACCTAAATTTAAATATTTGGGAAGTGTTCTAACAGAAGACGGAAAGGGTGACACTGATATTCGAAGGCAATTTGGAATAGAGAAAGGCGCTTTCCAAAAGCTAAGGAAAGTTTTAAGAAATAGGAAAATTTCATTTGGAACAAAGAGCACTGAATTGTTCTGTAATATCAGTCCTCCTATATGACAGCAAATGCGAGACAATCTTCTGAGTTTTTCTTTAATGAAATTGCTTTCAAATTCATAAAGCATTTTTAAGCGTCTGCGGGATAATTAATGACAGTTTTGTAGTGAACCAACTCACCTCACAATTAAAAATGTTGATAGATATTTAAGAAAAATGACACGTCATACTGACACTAAGTAAAGAACACTTGTCCAATATTTTGAAACATTTTATTTTGAAACTATTCTTTTTTTGTCCTTTTTGCTGAGGACAGTCAAACGGTTGGTCGATGAAACCTGTGGACTCCCCACGGAAAATGAAAGTGAACTAATGGCGATTGAACACCACCGACAGATCGCCCGGGACACTCAAAGACTGAAACAATTCAGGACAGAGACAACTCAGCATCAGAAAAAAATAACTTTTTTTTAATATAAAATAAAGGTTGTGTGTGCGTGTGTCTGTACGTTTATATATTGGATCGGATTTCCTAAATTTTTCAACCGATTTCAACAAAACTTCACAGGACTATGTAAAATTACCTTGCGGTGGTTCTGACAGCGCCAAAAATTGGAAAAACACAATTGTTTTGCACGAAATCAATTTGAAAACACGATTAAGGAACCTCCGGGGGGGATTAAAGGGGGACAACTCATATCGAGTTATACTTATTATAAAACCCAGGTTGTTTTGTGTGTGTGTGTTCGTTTATATATGGGATCGGATTTCCTACATTTTTCAACCGATTTCAACAAAAATTAACTTTTTTTTTTTTTGGCAGGTAGTGTTTCTTATTGTCTTGCACACTTTTTTCTTTATTTTTTACATTCAGAATGCTTTAAAAATTCCATTTTACAAGACAATTGTTTATAATAAAATTCTATTCAATCGGTAGACTCATAACGATTGAAAACAATGTTTTTGTTTCAGTTTGGGTTTGACCAATTTGTAAAAAAAAAAAAAAAAAAAAAAAACTAATTAAGACATGCGTGTCCATCAACCTTAAACAATAATCTTTGTCAATTTTTTTTTTCAGTCTTTATGATGGTCGATACTTGATCTATCTCTTACTGCTAAACCCCGGGCAACGCCGGGCTCTACTACTAGTTTTTTAATAAAAGTAAAGTTTTTATAAAAATATTTCAGAATTTCGATTTACTGTGTTAAAAATAAATTACATCACGATTTATTCTATTAAAAATAATTAAAAGAAAAGCTTCATTTTTTTGCCTTTTTCGATTTACTTTAATAACTAAAACAAGTCTTTTATTGAATTATGTTATGTATGTCAATTTACTTTAACCAGTCCACCTCAGAAAGAAACGGCAACCTCCCGCGGGAAAATCTTCTGCCTAGTCAGTCATGAATCGAAACAGACATGATCGCCCAAATGGATATCGCGTACCGCAATTAAGTGGCTGATATTAAATAAAGAGCCATGCAAAAGTTGTAAATCCATCCTCTCTACCCCAGCTATGGGATGAATAGAAGGACAGACTGGATCCTATAGCCTTGGTTGGCAACCAGTCTATCATAGAATGAAACAACAGTCTAGCTCAGGAAAGTCTTCTGCCTAGTTAGTCAGGAATCGAAAGAGGCATCATCGCCAAAGCGTCTATCCCGTATGGCAATTGACTGACTGATAAAGACTGATAAAGGGAGACCGAAAGGCTAAACACAGCGAAAGATGCCTTTCAGAAGCTAACCATAACAAAAGATGAAAAATTCTTTAGAAACAAAGAAAAGTGTCTATGGTAGGCAATGATGGACGAGAATTTTGAGCAATGTAGATAAATGAGGCAAGTTCGGTTTGTGTGAAAGGGACCATACATAATTTCTGAGTCTTGAAGTATTAGTGAAATGGTAAAATTTGCTCTGGCACCGACCCCAGTTTATGCTTATTACTTGCAGCATCCAGCCCCAGGGTTTTCTTTCCGACCACAATTCGAGATTCCATCTTTTTTCTTCAATTTATTGTTTTCCTCGGCATGTTTTTTTTTCATGTGGATGAGGCTATTATAGCCGTATTTTCTACAATTCTGTTGCGGATTTAGATTGGTAGGTTTTCGTGTACGTTTATGCAAAAAAAAGGCTAAAAATAATGGAGGCCTTGATAATCAGAAAGAAAAAAAGACAACAATGAGTAATGCCAAATATGAACACGGCCACTAAGTACTGACGGTGTTTGTAAAGTAAAAAAAAATCCTATCACTATAGATACACATACATCAAAATGTACATATTCAGTTAAAAATGGAAAAAGTTTAATAATGGCCAATAGAATAAGCAAAAAGCGCTCAGATATAGAGAACAATTTGTTCAGAAGAGAAACCACTTATATAAATACAAGAAAAGTTTTAATAAAAAGCTTAATCGCAGTACTTTGTCAGTCGTCTTTAATGAAGCATATAAAAATATGCTGTCCAAATACACGACTATATATATATATATATATATATATATATATATATATATGTGTGTGTGTGTATAAATAAAAGGAAAATCGGTGCTTATATATTACTGTTATCGGCGACTAGAATTTTCATGTGGACGTAAATATATATAACATTTCACATTAAAAATGACGTATTCTGTTTTGACTGGCACGATGTCATCTTGAGAGTGAAAAATATATATATATATATATATATATATATATATATATATATATATATATATATATTGCTTTGATACCAGAGAATGAATAGATAGATTTAGATAAACACTATTTTATGCTGATTTTTTTGGGTGGCGTAGACCTAGGCAAACTTTCGACCAACACTTCTTCAGGAAACAATCGTTGGCTCAACTGAAGTAATGAGAATTAGACTACAAAAGTGCGGGGAAATTCTTGGAGATAAGGCTGGAACCCATTTAAAACAGATTTACGATTAAAATAAATACGTAAACTTAAGAGAATAAGTAAATGAACCAACCAGAGGATAAAACAAGTAAAGAATTGCTCACTAACCTCCAAATACGTTTAAAGACCGCAAAAATCATCATTTTGTATGCAGAGATATGGTTGCTGCAGTTTAAGACAAATAGCCTCCATATATATATATAGATATATGTATGTTGGAGGATATATATATATATAAAAATTTGTTCATCACCATATTTTATATGAACGCACAACCTTTAAAAATTTAAAATCAAACTCAGCGTTGCTTTTGCGCGCTCCAAAAACAATAACTCATTTTCAATAGCATTTTCGGATACAACAATACATATATTTTCGTTGTCCTCTAAGAGAAAAAACAAGAACAACATCTATTCTATACCTGAAGATGTCTGTAGGAACAGACGAAAGCTTGTAGTAAAATAAGAACTAATACGGCAGAAATTTATATAAACAAGGATCATTTCATTCATAACGGATACGGAGGTTTTTGTATATTATTTGAATTGTTTGCGATGATGGATGTCTCGCCATTTAAATCATTAACCTTTGCATTAGTTTTGTGTGAATAATTCATGTATTTGTAAATTGATTGCACGTTTATCATATATATATATATATATATATATATATATATATATATATATATATATACTCGACTCTCCCGTCGAATTCGACGTATCAAGGTCAAGCGGATCAGTTCCTAGGATCTGACAGCCCTACACCAGCACGTGAGATTTGAATTATACTGGTGAAGGTTTTCTTCAGAACCATCCACCCTTTTTGAAGGGCCGAATACAGAGACCTGGTGCACTACGTACCACAGGGTCCCCAAAAGACCCTCCGCAGGTTTTGAATTCAGAGTTGCCTTCTCCTAGACCAGTTGACATCCAAGGCTATAGAACCCAGTCTGTTCTGCTATTTACCTATAGCTGGAGGGAGAAGAAAAGGATTGACTATGCGGATTTATCTTAATGAGAACCTATCAGGAAGATGAATCGGGTGTGCCAGTGATAATGACAATGTGCTGTTGAAATGGACATCAGGTTCAAATAACTTGACACTTTGTAATTTTTTCTATGCGGCTATGTGAAAGGTATATAACCCCTCTTCCTACAACCATAGAGGAACTTAAGCAGAGAATCACTGAGACGATAGCGATTGTTACGCAAGACATGCTACAGCGTGTTTGGCAGGTGCTGGACTAACGACGTAACGTGTGTCGTGTCACAGTTGGTGCGCATATTGAACATTGCAAATTTTTGTGAAATCGGTTATAACATCTACATCAATTTCAATGTCTTGTTCGAATTTTGATAAATAAATGATAATACCCGATTGGCTGTAGAAGAAAGGTTGGTGTTCCAATTATTTATGTCAAATATATATATATATATATATATATATATATATATATATAGTTTATGCAAATTTAGGTAATCCGTATGGGTAGACCTGAGGAGGATGATATCCAGAGAGCTCAATGTAAAATTCAGAGCAGATATGTTTGAATAAAAGACAGACTACGTTAAGATTCCATGTAAGCTATTTCACCATAACCCTTTAATAGGGTTCTGGATCATCAGAACTTACTTCCAAAAGCTGAAATGAAGAATGAAAAGAAATTCACACGTTTTTTACGGACCTCATCAAGTATACGCAAAGTTAACGAAGTGAGGAAGTGAGGTGGGAGAGAGGATATGAGTGTGTCATATGTATCATTTTAGTTTCCTATTTTAACCCCAGTGTGTCGGCTGGATGTTGCTCAAATCTAACGCGTCTCGTCTCTAGATAAAGGTGGTTAAGGGGTGAGCGATAAGGAAGACGTTAAAACAACCCCAATAAATTACACGACAGGTTTCATTCAAATTCTTAGATTAGTATGCATTTCATTACGATATAGGAGATTAATATATTTGAGATCAGTAGAAGCAGTATTATGTACAATTTGCTTATTATTGAGATTTCTTAGAAAGCATCTTATTTGTTCATCAACTATATAGTTTGGAAAGCTATTATTAATAAGTGTCTGTTTTATATTCTTTAGTTCACTGTAAAAAATCTGTTTTGTGGATGAATTAGTTTCTGCACGATGTATTAGATTCTTTATGATTGCTATTTTGTAGTAATATGGGCATTCGCTCTTGTAGTTAAGTGTACATTAATTTATGCTTGTAGGTTTTTTGTATGGCGAAATAGTAAATTTGTTATTATTTGTGTTTATCAATATGTCAAGGAAGGGGATTTTATTATTAGTATTGAGTTCATATGTGAATTTAAGGACAGAATTATTTTGGAACCGTTTTTGAAGTTGAATTATTTCATCTGTATTTTTTAACTAACATAAGAATATCATCAACGTATCTTAGGTAGATTGATGGTTTTTAAAATCTGTAAATAACTTATTTTCGAGGTTCGACATGTAGAAATTACTAAATATCGGGCCCAATACTGAACCCATGGAACACCATCACGTTGTATATATATATATTGTTATTATGATCGAAGAAAGGGACTTCAGTAGTACAAGTTAATAGTAGTTTTTTAATATATTAGGATTAATTTTAAGTGGGGTAAAAGATGAGTTACTGTATATATTTCTTATAATTATGTCAATAGTTTCACTAACAGGGACATTGGTAAATAAGTTTTCAACATCAAGTGAAGCCATGATTTCATTGTCAGGTTTTTCACTTTTTAGGATTATATAGATATATAGATATAGATATATTAGATATATATTGCTCCATAACTATTCTTTTATATTTTATTCAGGAGGAAGAAATTGGCCTCTATTGAAAAAAGTTACAATAAGTTCGAAAAAGTTTTGAAAACACAATTTTCTTCCAGCTGCAAAATATTTACACGAAAATTATATATTTATTATTAATTCGCTTCCTTGTCCCCACTCTCTCTAATTTCTTTTTCTCTTCTTCCTCTATCTCTCTCTAGTTGTCGCTCACTCTCCTTCTGTTTTTATCTTCTCCCTTCTTTCTCTCTATTCTCATTGTCACTTTCTTTTCTCTTACGCTCTTCTTTTCGTTTCTTTTTTTTCTTCTCTCCTATTGAACTTTCTCCCTCTCCATTTCTCGCTTTGTCTCTAGATATCGCTTTAGTTATTTTTTTTGTCATTTTTTAACTTTTAATTTTTTTTTTTTTGCTATATTTCTGACTTCTATGTGGTAAGAAGTTTTGAAATGACTTTCATGAATTGACATTAAAATGTTTTTTGTTGCTTTTATATCAATATTTAGACATCTTTATTCTTTCGCCTTCCGGAGATTGTAATCAGTAATTCTTGAGTTTTACGCAGTAGAAAAACAACTTTTCAACTCACCAAACCAAAGTAAAGAAAAAAATCTTGAAAATATTTGGATTTATAATATTGAGGTTTTCTGTTTCAAATGAGATTTTGTCGTGTTCTCTAATAAGCGAATTTGATGAAACACATTTTATTAGTACAAACGGTATTTCTTTTCATTTTAGTGGGGACACGTGTTTGAATATTGACACCACTTTTATTTGAAACAGCCAATTTAACGTCAAGCAGAATCGAGAATTCCTTATGAAAGAATAGTGTGCCGCTGGGCAGGAATCGGATCTATATTCTTTTTTTCCCGTGACACGTGAACCCACTAAAAACCAAGACGTAGACTCTAGAGAGTCTGAGTGGAACTTTCTCCTTACCAAAGGAACGCAATGCGAATGAGGATGATTTGCCACTGTGAATACAAGGCAGGCCCTACTCTGTTAAGGTTTAGGCTGGTGGAATTAAGGAACGTGACGTGTTTGAACATTTTCCATAGCAATATCAATAGAATAGCAAGATACTACGAACGTTTCGAACTGTAAGAAAAAAGAAGCAGAGCTACTTAATGGTTTTGAACCCACAAATCAGGATAAGAGTTTTGAACCCACAAAGCCGTTTAAGTGTTTTGAACACGCAAAGCCGCTTATGCGTTTTGAACCTGCAAAGCCGCTTATGCGTTTTGAACCCGCAAAGCCGCTTATACGTTTTGAACCCGCAAAGCCGCATAAGCGTTTTGAACCCGCAAAGCCGCTTGTGCGTTTTGAACCCGCAAAGCCACCTAAGCGTTTTGAACCCACAAAGCCGCTTATGCGTTTTGAGCCAGCAAAGCCGTTTATGGGTTTTGAACCCGCAAAGCCGCTTATGCGTTTCGAACCCACAAAGCCGCTTATGCGTTTTGAACCTGCGAAGTCGCTTAAGCGTTTTGAACTCACAAAACCATTTAAGCGTTTTGAACCCACGAAGCGGCTTAAGCGTTTTGGACTCACAAAGCCGCTTAAGCCTTTTGAACCCACGAAGCCGCTTAAGGGTTTTGAACCCACAAAGCCGCTTAAGGGTTTTGGACTCACAAAACCACTTAAGCGTTTTGAACCCACGAAGCGGCTTAAGCGTTTTGAACCCACAAGGTCGGGGTGAGTTTTAGACCCAGTAGACATTTGAGACAGTGAAGCTCTTTGAGGGTATGACTACTCATCAACCTTAGTGCAAGTTTAGTGTTTGCTTTGTGGTGATGAAATGTTACTAGTTTAGTTTTCGCTGTATTGAGTTATACCAATTAGTCTTTCTTCATTGAACTGTGGGAGTTAAGGTCAGAGGAGAGGTTAGCTATCATCCACTTGTCATTAAGATATATGAAGGTTCACCAATACACTGTGGTCTTATCTGTATACATATTTGCGATCAGTAATATAAAGGAAAAACAGAGTAGTACCAAGGAGAGTGCCTTGGGAACTTTATAGACCTACCTGACAGAAAAAGATAAGAGAATTTCCCAGATATTCGATTGCACAACTGGCTAGTTTGCGTAGCAATCCACTTTGGCACTCCTTGTCAGAAGCCATTGAGATATCTTAGACGATCACTCTGGAGATATTTTTTTATTATCAAACACTTCACTAATTCTATGCATGATAATAGAGCATCAGCAGTGGGCCTAGAAGAGCGAAAACCATACTGTTTGTCGCTCATGAGTTTGTTTTTGTTGAGGTGTTCAACAACATTCTTGTTTAAGATAGCTTAAAAGGGTTTGCTAATGTCACTTAGTAGGCTGATGGCGCGGTATTATGACGTGGTCAATGGCTCACCTGTATTATTGTGCATAAGACATACATTAGACACCTTCTGAAGATTTGGGAAATATTTCTTGTTAAGACAGCATTTGAACAACTTGGCCAAAATTGGGGAAATTCCAGGCTCAAGGTTATTGAGGACAACAGGAGAATTTTATCCGGACCAGTAGCTTTCGTAGAGTCAAGGCTTTTGTTAGGTCTGAAAACCACCCGAGCCGATATAGGTATATTACAAAGCTTGTGTTCCGTGAGGTAGAACCTATGGATGTTGTTTGTACTCAAACCTCCAAGTTAGCTTCATCCAACGACGATGTGATAACCCCATAGCTATTTTATAATAGAAGACACTTGCAGTTTGCCTCGATTGAGTATTGCGTTTGCAGTTTTCTAGAACTCATGGGAGCCAAGCTTTTTTTGTTTCGCTTTCGGAAGCCACTCTTTGTATTTCCAGGACTCCCTTGCAGTAATTGCTTGCAGTTCAGAATGAGGCAAGGGTTTTGCTATACTGTTCCATCTGGTAGACAAGATAGTAGGAATTAAGGTAGATCTTGATTGCAGCAGACTCTGGCCTGAATTTGGTTTGGCTATTGGTATCTTTTATCTGAGATAAAGATTTCAATGCCACAGTGAAGTCGTCCTGTGTGTTATGTACACCTGTATATATATGTAGACCTGTTTAACAGTTGTAATATTAGAGGAATCGATACTTTCCTTATATAGTCTCAGTTGCGGTGGATTGGTCATGTTTCGAGACTGTTTAATGACAGGATGCCCAAGATCTTAATGTACAGTCAGTTAGATCAGGGCTACTGGAATGTAGGACACCCATGGCTTAGATACAAAGACAAGCTGAAGAGCAACTTGTCACCTGTCAATATACCTCATAACACCCTCGAGCGCTTAGCCTTGGGGTGGGTAGAGGGAAGATCAACGTATTTTAGTGCACACAGTCGTTTTCAATTTGATTGTCTGAATCGTCTTCAAGAAGCGAGAGCAAAATCTAAAAGGGTAGCCAATCTAACAGTGACCGCAAAGACTGATGTTCTAGTTATAGTCTTTTTGGTGTTAGTTTATTTGTTTCTTTTTATTTAGTGTTAGTTTATTTTTTTAGTGTTACTTTATTGTTTTTTTTATTTAGTGTTAGTTTATTTGTTGTTGTTTTTTCGTTAAGAAGGCGTGTTTAGATATGATTGGGTTGTATTTTGGTTCTATAGTTTTATACGTGTCTGAAATTTATTTAATTTACTAATAGATTTAATATGGTATTGGGTAAATTTTTTCTATTCATTACTAATTGTTTAAGGCGTATATTTGCTGGTGTCTGCAAAAAACCGTTATTGTATTTCTTTGATTTAATAAAATTTTGTTTTTTAGAAACTTGATAATGTGTAGTTTTTCATGTAGGCATAAAGGGCATGGGTCATCCCAGGTTCTACAAGTTCTTGATCTGTTTATTATTTACCATAGAATCTACAGAATCAAAATACAACAATTATAATCAATTTCTTGTACCATAATTTGATGAACTTATGTAAAAAAATAAAATAATAACGAAGGGTTTATTTCAGTTTATTTAAAAAAAAATGTCATCTCAGCACAAAATCTGAAATGAATCCAAAGCAAATCCTCGTCCAATCCTTCAGAATAGGTTGAAAGTAAAAAATTATATGTTTATGGTCTGTTCATGTGTTTTCCGTGTGGATATTACGCGTTTAAAATAGGACATAGAATTTCGACAAAGTTTTAAGAAATTTGACAAATGGAAATGTTTCATTGAACATCGATTTGATTATGCGTTTCGCCTTTCTAGGATTATGAGATCCAGAAGGATATATGAATTTATGAAATTAGGATTTACATTTAATTCGATAGAAAAAAGCTTTGTTTCGTTATTTTCGTGTTTTGATTTGCTGAAGCCAAGAAAGACGAAACGCATAATCAAGTCTAGTGCCAATGAAACATTTTAAATTTATAAAATTTCTTTCAAATATATATATATATATATATATATATATATAGAGAGAGAGAGAGAGAGAGAGAGAGAGAGAGAGAGAGGTTACCAAAATAGAAATGACAAAAGAGGAAAACTTATTTTTGCAACGATTTTCGTTCCTTCATGGACTTATTTATACAGGGAGAAAAAGTGCCGTTGAGAATATAAATTCATGTCTTCGATTCTAAATCTCTACTTTGATCCAAAAGGCCTAGAATTTAAATCCGAGATCATTCTAAAATATTTGAAAAGATTATATCATTTTCTTAGCGCTAATCAATTTTGCCATCGATGAAGGAAAAGAAACACGTTCCAGAAATAAGTTTCCTATTTTGTTTATTTTATTTCAGATTTATTGATTTATATCTTAAATATATATATATAAAAACACACACACACACACACACACACACACACACACACACACACACACACACACACACACACACACATATATATATATATATATATATATATAGTGTATTGGGCAGCAGATCATGTGGTACCGCGTCATAGAACCGTATCATGAATTTACGACCTGCGTCTGCCGTTCCGCGACCGTTATCGTCGCATACCAATCTTCTTTGTCAACATAACAGAATATCATCTTTAATGGTGAATATCTTTGTTTAAATGTCTGCATAAACACTCTGAAGATGGCTCATCTGACTCGAAACCTTAGATCAAGGAACAGCTTAATAAAAAATATACAAATCTTGGACAATTTTTGTCTTTATTTTCACCAGGAGTTTAGAACGGCTCATGATCAAACGCAATAGACATTCATAGTCTGTTATATTTAACAGTATATAAGTTTAAATATATATATATATATATATATATATATATATATATATATATATATATGTGTGTGTGTGTGTGTGTGTGTGTGTGTGTGTGTGTGTGTGTGTGTGTGTCTGTCTCTCTCTCTCTCTCTCTGTATGTGTATGTGTGCAAACTCGTGGAAATTTAAGTGCATTTGATTCTTGATCCAACACTCTTCATGAAACAGTT